AGATAATATACTGAAAAGTATTAATGAACTGTAGTGGTACTTATAATCAACAATTGCAGAGTACAATTTTTAAAATTATAGCATTTAAGTCTTTGTGATTAAAGAATATTTATTTGTTTCATATGTTGAATCTGTTATTACGCATTACATTAAAGCTACGTTTAATATTTAAAACACATGGAGTTTAAAAAAAAAAAACATCGTTAAAATTAAAACTGTAAACGTTATGGAAATAAATAATAATTGAAAAGTTCCACGTATAATATTGTAGAATCCAATAGCTTTAAAAATGATTATTAAAGTCTGCTACAACCTAGGAATGTGTCCTATATAAGTTCACGCCACTGTGGGTATACTGGTAGTACACATAATATGTTTTCAGATAATATATTTATGTGTGGATACCGTGTATTATAACGGATGGGTACTTGCTGTATATTATTATCTATCACCGAGATGTTATATAATATTGTTGCGTGAATAAACACGCAGACGGCGGTCGTGTCAGCGTTACCACCTGTTTGTCTATAACATTATTATTATTATTATTATTATTATATCGTTATACTATTATCATATTATTATATATTATATTATACGGTAGTTTATACTAATTTAGATCGCTATTCGAAGCGTCCTTGTTGTCTCCGAGCGCTGCGCCAGTGTTGGAAATTAAACCCTTTATTATCATATAATAAAATAATAATAATAATTATGTGATATGGGCGAATCCGTAAAATAATCGTGTCTGTGCAATCGGCGGCAATTATCAAACGCCACTGAAACTGTTCGTTGCATCACACGAAGGGATTCCCTGCGGACGATCTCCTCCTACATTGTCCTTTGCAATCTTACAGTGATTCGTGGCCGTATCCTATCGTAAACCGACCCCCGTAAAACCCTAACTGGTGTATACATAAAATCTTGGCTGACTGGTTTTCCTGTAGTGTATATCAAGTACAGCTGTATACCTAATATACTCGTACACCTAACCGTCCGTTGTCGGTGTCATAGTAAGTTTTTTTACGTGCAATAAAAACGTACAATAAGTATTATAATATTATTGGTAATAACAAATTTTATTATATGATATATTACGTCATAGTATTTATGTATATTTTCTAAAATACGCTCGAATATAATGTGTCGAAACAATCTGCAGTGTGGTGATTCCTAGAAAATAAATACTCGTATCGACTAACCATCTTGACTGTGGTTACATTTTTACAATAGTATGACATATACGAAAAATAAAAGTTTATTTTTAAAATATTTATTTTTGTTTATTTCCATTGAACGAAGTATTAATTTTTTAGCATTTCAATTTCAAAAGAAGGCAATTATCGCACAAATACGTTGTACGTCTGAAAATTAATTCAAGGTATTCTTGCAAAGGGAAATTTTACCTTCAAGGTATCCCTTTAGCTTTCATCTAGATACGATGCGATATTATTGTCATAATTTTGGAAAATAAAACTATATGAGAGACTAATAATATATTATACGAAATATTAAACAAGGGTTATTAAAATATTTTAAACTATTTTGTTCACCCTACTTATTGCTGTTTTGAAATTAGTGAAGATTTACCTGTATTTATTATCAGAAAAGAAAATACTATTAATAATAATATTATTGATCTAGTTTCCAAAAATCTTAAATTTGGTGACCTAGAATTGACTCCTTGAACTTTAACCTAGCCGTTCTACTGATTACTGATTTTTCACGGTGATTATCTTAAAACTTTGTCGACAATTCTTCTCACGAATCTCAAACGTATATGGCTCTATTTTATTATCATACGATACATGTATCCTTATTGAAATTTAATTTTCTAACGATATTTCAAACGTTTAATTGCCTTTTCATAACTATTTTATCTTTAAATGTGATAGAAATTGGTAATATGAAATTCTATCGATCGCGACGAAGCGATAGTTTTTTAATGGCAGTTAACTGAGAGTACTGAGATCTATTTTAATAAACTCTACTTACTGAACATTTTGCAACTTTTTGTACATATCATCTATTTTATCTTAGTATACTTTTTGCCTGGGGTCTATTTACCTCCAGTTTAAATTATATTTGTACATGATAATCGTGCTGAACTCATTTACCACGTTTGATGCTCTAATAATTTCGAACTCAGCTTAGTCATTGGCGATTACAACTCGCCTAATTTCATCTAGTCTGTTACTGACTGCAATTAAATGTATAGTGTTAGTATTACACATAAAGTTCGGTTGGTTGGAAACCAGTATACACTACTTATTTTATACAATTGAAGGATATGATATTCCTGATAGAAATTTATCTTACATGTGTATCTAAATGTTAAAAAAAATTATTATCTAAAAATAAAGTAACTCATAAAATAAACTATCAATTTGGTAACAGTTTTTATGAATATATGTTATCCTTATTACGAAAAAATTTGAGTTCTAACGCCTTTATAGAAATAATTTAAATTTCATGAAAAAACGCCTAAGTGGTAATTCAAAACTATTCTAATAATTTATCCAGAACCATTAGAACATCTGTTTGATATCAGAGGAGGTACACCTTTATTATTTTGGCTTGAAGTAACCAAGTAACTCCTCTGTTTGTCTTTTACTTTTGTTTTGTGTTTAAAAATCCACGAAACCGTTAGACGCATTTACATCTGGATTTTTTCATTTCTTCCATCTATCATTTCTATATCGACTAATGAGATCAACGGTGCTTTTATTTCACTTGGTAAAGCTCGTATATATCTGGCCCAGATAGTATTTCTACTTTTATTATATATCCATATATCATTTTATTTTTTGTTTTCCAATTTATTAGTTTAATTTTTAATAAGTATTTTGACTTTGCTTATAAAATAGATCATGTAACATCTATCCTAAAATCTAAGGATATAATCTATATTACTTACTACCTTATAGGAATATTTATGGCTTACTTTTTTCTATGTAAAATTTGAGTGGAAATCGTACTCAAAGAAATAGAGCGATCTATTTTGTGAACTAAACTAAGATGAATTTCTCTCTGGTCGTTCAACGGTTACTTGCCATATTTATTTTATATGTTTCCTTCATTAAAATTTTGAAATAAGGAATTAGGTTAATGTAATTCACACCGATATTTATAAAGCATTTGATTCGTTGGATCACGGCACTCTTCTACGTATTCTTAATTATATTTATTTATATTGTTATATTATCTATAATTAACTACTTACCTGCATATTTTTACCTAAAACTTTTGCATGTTTTACTTTATTTTTTAACTTTATTTTGTCATCGCCTATAAATTATAAGTATGCAACTTCACTAAATTCTTAGTAAACCCCGTATGATGTTAATCTTTTATTGAAAAAATAAATATCATAATTTACAGTATTAGTGTCAACATCGAATTTTCATTATTAACCGATGACAGCGTCTATCGTCTAACCGTTCGCTAATACCGTTGTTACTGTACAGTTCGATTCAAGTATATACTATTATACTAACGAATCCCCTAAGACCCCGAGGGTCGAACGACTTATTTCCGGTGTCACAGGCGACACCAGTTTCCGGTCGGGAACAATGTGCATGCCTTTAGGTATACACTTAAAACTACTTTGCCGCTTTACCACTCTACCATTTTACATTATACTTCAACACGGACACATTCGCTGTGTATACAATAAAGGATGTCTCTGTTACGTAGTCTATAATCGTAAAAAAAAAAAAAATATCACACTATTATAAAAATGGGTAGTATAAAAACACACCAATCTGACCATACACACGTTCTCGCGGGGATAAAAATGACAGATTTAATCATTGGCTTGTTTTAACTACATGTTCATCGTTGAGTTTTTTCATGATTGGCAACAAAAAAGTGTCATTTTATATTCAAAAACTACCACCTAAAATACTTCAGTCAAAAGCTTGTAATAGTTTCGTACTGTTATTATAATTTGACAAATAAAGAATAATACGTATACTTATACATATACTATACTATTTTAGACATTTATGATTTCCCCTTAACGTATTTTATATGCCAATTATTTTGAAAATATATGTTTAATCATGTTGCTTAAAGAGCATGCAAACTTCATTGCTAAAACTAGCACAAAATATATGTTGATAAATGCATGTTACAGTTATAACCTTAAGAAACTTTACTTTCGAACCTTTACATCAATGTTTTTAAAACTATTGCACAAAAACGCGTCAAGTTGATTTTTATAATATTATAAATAACGTGTACATAATTGATATCTGTTTATGGTTTGCAATAACGTTTTACGCGTTATATTACAAAATATTGAAAGATCTTAACACAACGTGATACAATAAAACTTCAACTTTACATCATTAATAGATCGACACATTAAAATGTGTACACTGCAGCTTGTAATATTATAATATTTTAGTATATAAAAAAGCATGTATACATGAAGGTCAGAGTGGTTCTCAACCTCTTTTATTCTACGCCCCCTTTGTATATTTTCAAAAATCGCGCCCCTTCCTATTAATTGAAAAAATTGTTCATCTTTTTTCGTGTACTTTACAAATGAACTATACAATATTCGGAATGACTATTTTTTTTGTTGATGATAATTTATCGGTTATCCATTATTGATACCCGATAACGGATAAAAAAAACCGGTCAATTATTTTTTTTCTCAACGTTTTAAAATAAAAATTGTATTTCGTAGTAATTGATGCGCTTCCCCAGCAATGCGTATAGGTCCTCCAATTTGGAAACTAGTGATGTAGGTTGGTGATCGTATTATATACCTATTAAATGTTTTAATAATGTGTATGAATGTTATACAAATAAAATATAATTCAAGTAATAAGATAATGACAACAATGACGTTTGAAATGTGAAGGTGCATTTTTGATGTTATAATACTAATAATGATATCTATTGTATATTGAAGAATTGAATAATATTCAATTGACGATGATTTTTTGAACGAAATCTTAAAAAATAATATTATTTGTTGATAATTTCAGTGATTGGCGTAAATGGAATTGGACGGTCGGGAAACTGGCAGCACCCTGCGGGCCAACAGCTAGGGTACAGCTCGGCACGGGTCCGTCTCTACTGCCAGGCAAAGTGAAATATACTGGCTCTGACAGGTAAAAATAAATAATATAACACTTATATAATAAGAAAAAATTGCTTTAAGAATAAATTTTCTATCATTTCGTATCTTCGCGTACCTACACATTATAATATTATAAGTATGTACTTTTCAAGTCAGTGTCAAAACCAAGGAATGTTTCTATATCCCTTTTATTGCCTTATTTACTTGATTTCATTCTTCAAATCAATATTCAAAAAATGTTGACCGCTCGCCACACAGTAGGTGTTAAGTGTTCCTTGTCATTGAGAATTAAATCACTGTAATGTATATGTAAAATTTGAAATCGATCATTGCATATAAAAAACTATTCTGCAAAAAGTCGGCAATGAGTATAAATAAATATGTTTTGAATAGTTAGAATAATTTATTTTACTCTAAATTTTTTACTAAAAAACACAGATAGGTTGAGATTTTTTTTTCATAAAAACTCGGTAAACTTAAACATTTATTATAAATTATATTATCTTAGGTAATAATACAATCGAACTATTATCTCTCTATTAATAATAACTAAATGGATACTGGGGTCTCTTATAGTATTTGCCATATTGATAAGTATACTTTTATATCACTTATTCTTCGAGTGTATTAAATGTAATTTAAAAGGAATTTCAGAAAACTTATTACTTAAAATTTATAATATCTATAACACAATATTGTTTGATGGTCATTGCCTATTAAATATATACGTTCATACAAATATTGACAGTTAATAGCCGTAAATAGTAGATGAATATACGATAGCCAAATAATTCGTCTTATTCCGTTAATTAACAATCATTGTCATTACTCGTTAATAAATTTATTGGCCAATGAATTTTTTTTTATTTTGTGACATCTTGGCATTAGCCCCTTAAAAAAAAAAATAATAATAATACGTCCTTTGACGTCAACGTTATAAAAGCAAGTCAGGCACGTGTGTAGTTCAAAAACGGGGACAATGTTTCGCCGTATGAACACGATTAAAATGACGGCTATCGCCAGAACACTATCCAGTTATCGCCAAAAACTTTCAACAAGACCACAATAGCTTTTTGTCCCTTTACGTAAGCTACGACATTTACATAATAGATACAGTGTATGTAACCTGCATCATACGTATATTTGGATAATATAGTTATTAAAATATAATGATACTGACTCATACACGAAATTTTTACTAACAAACATCTTTAAATGGTAAAACATATACTACGGATAATCTAAAATATTCTTTTAAATATTTCATTTATTATTTTGAAAGTTCTTTAATTCATAAAATCCTTCAAAAGCAATTTTTTATTTTAATTCCATATCATTGAATTGAAATAATTAATTACTATATCGATTAATGAAAATACTTATTAATTATTCACTATAATAATTTTATAGTAATTTAAAAAAAAATAGTGGCTGTTAAAGAAATCCAACAGTAAAAATCAATAGCTTATAATAACATAGATAAGTACTTACAATATAACTATGTAACATTTTTTTAATATTTAAAAAAAATCAAAAAATCTATACCATATTTAATATTCAAAATTCTTAAAATTAAATCTATGTCTGTCTCTTTATTAATCGATAATTTTATATCTCTATTAATTAGGAAAGCACTAAAAATAATTCTAAAGCATTGTATTACTAAACTATAACTTTATTGTTTGAATCATTTTATTCGGGAAATTATTGATTTCGTATTAGAGTGAAGTAGGTAGAGCATAACGACGGAACTGTGCTTTTAGTATATTTTTAATAATATTATTTATTCAATTATACTGGATCATTTAAGAACTTTTGTGGTCTTTTATTTATGTTTGTTTATTTTTATTAATACCCTTTCAATACTGTGGACGTATTTCATAATTTAATTACCATAATATATAACCGATTCATCACACAACCAATAGTCATGATTTTATTGAAGTAGTTATACAATTCGTTTTTTTTTTTTTAAAGTTTATAATAGTTTCCATGTGTAATGATTATAATTTTTGATTGTTATAACGTCCGCGTCCGCATTTATGAAAATATAGAATATTATAATAGATACAATAATTTGCTAGTACTTAACTATGTTCCAAGTTCAAACAGTCGAAAGTAAGTGTTAATATTATACCAAATGGATATTCGAAATGTTTACGGTACCTACCCAGTGACTTACAAAAACTAAAAAATCGTGTGGAAACAAAACAACACAATGTGGTTCTATTTTAAATCCAAAACTACATAGAAATATTAATTTAACAAAAAATGAAGATTTCCGATAAGAAATAAATATTTAATAATGAAAGCGAAATCCTATGGAAAGTCTTGGCAAAAAGCCGACAGGCATAAGGCCAAAAGTTTGTAGATGATCTGCAAAAGCCAATGAAGAGAATACTATAGTATTTACAGAGAACAAAAACCTTTCTTCCGCCAAAAATCGAAATTACGTAAGACATAAATCATTATAATATAATAGTACAATAGTATATTATATTTATTGGTAGTTATACTGAACGTATATCAATTGCTTTCATCGATGATATTAGGAAATTAAAAATATTTTTGAACTGGTGTGAGAGTTAGTCAATTGTTTTACAGTAAACTTTCGTGGTTATAAAGCATAAAGCTTTTAAACAATGTCTGATCGGCGTCTTACATCATACATTGAAACAGTGCGGTCCGGCTGGATCGAATATCACTCGGCAAGTAAAAAGGCGTGAAATATGGTATCACGTGTGATCCTTTATTCCTTGTATGTAAACTATGTTATGTTTATACAATATATTGGGGAAGCGAGCGTCGCTAACGCGTTGGTCGGGCTATTTAAGTGGGATGACACTAGGCAAGTGGCTCGAATACGACTGTCGTAATGACTCAGTCCTATATTAATATGCTGGGTCGATATACGTTGTGGATGGAGTCGAACACCGGCAGCGTGTAGCTATGAAGCGGCTAATGCTCGGTGAATCGGGCTCGGAGCGGCGGTACTTGCAAAAGTAGCCATGTGGGGGGATTAATAGAATGTGGCTCGGGTCTCGCGGTTCGTTTTTCGGAGGGAACTTCCGGTACGTTGAGTTTACAAGCATCAGAATTACTTGCTCCGAATTGTCGGCCAAATCGGAAAATGGTCTCGTGGGTTGTCTGATACTTCGATTCTTCAGTGTGTTGTATTGAAATGTTGAATATTGAAAGAAGACTGTATAATAAATGGCAAATATGCTCGGTATATAAACTATGATCTGTACCGACTAGTAAACCATGAGTGTGCCACCGTGCGTGCCCATGCTTACTGTCGGTACGGATTTTGTCACTGTGGGGACACTTTTGGACTTATGGCTATGAGGAGGGTGTTGTCATCTTCGTTCTGATCCTTCCCTCCCTATCCAAAGCCGTACTTCATTAGTGTATGTGATGACTGGGTGAACTTTAAAATTTCTTATAAACCTTTACAGTGTGGTTTTATTTGTACACAGTGCTGTGTTTGGTGGTTCTGAAAAGGACCGTTTTATATTATGGTGGTTTGTACCGTTATAACCTATATTAATTTATTCATAGTATAAACAGTACTGGTACAACCATATATATTTCAGTTCATTATTTTTATTAAATGTAAAACATTTTATAGGCATGGTACTATCTGAAAACGTATAATTTAATTCTTATATTTTTTGATTTTCATCTTATTATTAATTATGTTTTACTATACAAACGTAATAACGGTACAATTAACATTAATTATACAATGTTGATCAGATAGGTAAGATTAAAATTATAGTTAATATATTTAGAATAAAATTGAAATATGATAATTAAATCTATGGATAAAGGCTATTAATTTAGACATTTAAGTTTCAAAACGAAACTAAACATATTTTAATTATATGCGTACTACACCTTACTTATTGCTTTATAATTAAATAATATTAAAAAAAAAATCTCGATAAATTCATAAATTAAATACTCCTCTTTCATTTTTCTTAAGCAATAATTAACGATATTATTATAGCTTTAGTCAAATTCCTTGATAATAAATATGCAATTAATGTTTTATATTTACTCTTCAGTGTATTACTTGAGAAAAATTTGGAAAAATCATGTAAACACGAAAGAAGTGTTAACATTTTAGTTTTTTACTCTTTATATTTAATGCCAAAAAATGTAGAACAAACACAAAATTTATCTAAGTCGATTTAATATTTTTCTAAATTTAATCACTACCTAAGTAAAACGTTATATAAGCAGTTCATAATAACGATTCTTTTTCTGCATTTATTTTAACTCCATTAAATTCAAAGCTCTAATCATAATGTGAATTTATGAACTGGAATAGCATCATTATGACGTCTTTAAGTCCTGCCATTTGTATACTACTATGCTACACATGATAAGTTGTATTATTATTATGTTTCTTAACACGAAATATTGTCAACAGTTGTCGTATCCGATTTCCATTGATCATCTGCAGCATGAATAATAACTTATAAATATTTCAATATTTCTTATGCATATTGCGCACACAAAACGTGGCTTATCAAGTCATTAATTAAAATATTCAACCCTAAAATAATGAGTACCTACTATTTTATTACAAAAATATATATTTTATAAATTGGGGGATAATTTGAGATCTTAGTTTCTTAAAAACTTATTAAGCATTTAAAAAAACCAAGTAGCTAGTAACAGTGAATAGGCACTATATAATATGTTCAAAAAGTCTCGGTAAATAAATATATTTTTTAAATTCTGATTTTTGTGAGTAATTACATTTTTAATATAATAAAAATACCAACAATTTATTTTTTAAACATTCGAAACTGCCATTTTGTTTAACTTTTTTTTAAAGTAGGCAAATGAAAAAAAGTAAATGCCTAGCTAAAAAAATATCTGGTAGCGCTGCACTTAAAAATCATCATTACATATATGAAAAAGGATATATGTAACGTGGAATATTACAGCTGATAAAAAACTCTAATAGTTTCTACAAATTGGGATTCTAAACTGAATATAAATCTATCGTATATTATATGCAGCAGGTGGCCAGTGGCATGATTATAGACTTAGGCTTTCCATGATTACACACATAGGTCGTTTGTATGGAGAAGCCTAAAAGCTGATTATATATCTCATTAATACCAATTTAAACACTAATATACGTAATATGTGTACACATATGTGTTCCATTATATACAATAACAAAATATGCATATATGATTACTATATAATAAAACAATCATGTGTAGGAAAACATCACTACAGATGTACGTCCCAATGTCAAGAAAGTTATCGATTTTAAGACTAGACTAATAAATGCGTCCTTAATAATGTATTAAAAGGCTACACATGATTAGTGCATACATAAACGAGGATATTATAATATTATGTATATAGCACACATTCTTGATATTATATAAACTTGAATGTATACTTATTAACTATTTACCATGATAAAAATTAATTAAGAGATTAATATGTCGAATTGTATACCTTTAACTTTAGTATGGCCATGATAATTGTATACAAAGACGATTAAATATTGTGTAGAAAACTACAATTTAAGCTAATCAATTTAAAATTAGGTAGGTATTTAAATATTTTAACCACGTGTTTTATTTTGTGCTTTGAAAATTAATTTGATAAGATTTAGTCTCAATATTATTGATAATCAATAATGTATCTACACAAAAAAAAATATATATATATAAAATATAATTATTAAATATTTGTCAAAACCTTAAACGATTAGACTAAAAATGTAATTATATTAATATAATATAAAAAATACTAAAAAAATAAATAAATAATACAAATCTATTCACAAATTTTTAATGATAAAACTAATATCTGTTTAAATAAAACATTATTTTCTCGCTAATTTCTCACTAGTTTAGGTGGTACATAAAAATAAATAACACGTTAAACTTGAAAAACTCATCTATGTAATATTCTAATAATTATATTTAAATAATTTGATTAGATTTTAATTAAAAGTTCATTCATATTAGAAAAATCATAATTTTTTTCAAAAATTACAACGATCTAAAGATGTTAAAATACTATGTCGTCGAGTCTAAGATATTATTACGAAATTGTTATCGAAATCTTAGTTATGTCTAAACGGTTTTCCGTGTATATTATCTTCGTACTCCAAACGGTTGTCAATGCCTATAAACTGTCAATGCTTTTCTAAATGAATTACACAAAAGAACCCGTGTACTTTCTAAAATCGTTAATATGTTTAATATGACTAAATAATTATGATACAAAACGTTAGAATTATTCTCCTTTGCTGCAAGAAAACCGGCATATAACCTATAAAGACTAAAGGAGAGATTTTGCCATCGTAGAGCAATAATATTGCAATTGTTCTGGGGTGACCATTGACGCAGGTAATACATGTATTAGCCGTGTAAATCCATATAATTCCTTTTATAATAGCTTAGGGTGAAATAACTGTATAGCTGTAATATAACACTACCGTAATAGAATACAACCAATACTTCATACAATAATAAACTGCAAAATATACACTACCCTATGGTTCCCATCTGAAGAACGCTGTCCAACAATACTATTTAAGCAACTATAGGATGATCATTAAATAGTGATTTTAAAACGTCAAAATTAGAAATTAAAAAGAATGATATTTTTTAAAACGTTTGTAACCTTCCTTATTTTATTTTTTTATTTTTTTTTACTTCTAATTGAAATCTAGGGTAGTTTTAAAACTCAAAAGGAAAAAATATCTGAACATCTTATAATTTCATAATAATTTTTGAATATAATTTTACATAACACTGTATACTCATAGGTGCGTAATAAAATAATAAAAGTAAGAAAAAAAAATCGAAGAATAGGCAAATTTAAAAATTAAAAATATTATACAAATTAATTTCCATCGCATTAGAAAAATATAAATATTTACTTTAAAACCCATAACAATATTATTGTGTGCCTTCCACCGTACCCATGTTATCTATGAAACGATAAACGTGTTTCGACGAACGAAATAAAAAAAAATTAACACGTAATGTTCGCACTCCTCGGATACCCAAACAATATTATATTATAATACTTATAATAGGTACGTACACCCCGCCGATAGAAGGTTGTTTTAGTTAAGGATTTGTTTTCTAATTAAATATCCCCGGTCTCTCGCTCGAACAACATATTATAATACCATTATAATGTACTATACCTACATATTATATTATTATATACGCGGTGTTTCGCCTTGCACTTTGTCGGCGGCCCCACGCTCAATTATAATGTGCATTAAGTATATTAAACGGTTTTTCGTACTCACCGTCGTGTATTCGATCCTGGAGAAATGTAATAGAACTACACCTTTCCTTTAAGCGTATTTCGCTTTATTATCCGCCTCACGTGCATCTCACAATATTGTGTTCTACCTACCTATACAAGGCCGTTTATTATGAAACGAAGCGATTGTAAATTGTCTATTATTATCATGTATGGCCGATTCGTACAATTCCGCAAAACAAATAAATAATTTTGGATTTCGCGCGCATAATAATCGCATGAAAGATTTTTTTAAAACACCGCATAGCCATCATATCGTTTACCGTACATTTATAGTCGATTTGGTCGACAGTAATAAAATTGAGTTACGACTATTATTTCAGTGCCCGTGTTCAGGCCGTACTGTCATTAATGTCGACTATTCAGAACCAGTAAACAGTATTTTAAAAGGGCTAATGGTCGTGCTCATAATGAAAAATGATCTGATGAATGATAATGATATTACAAAAAAAAAAAAAAAAAAAAAAACCCACCTTTTGAAAGTACTGTTATTGTTTAAGAATGGTCTAGCGTGGTGTTTCCGCCGGAACTAAAATAATATCAGTAGGTATAGGTTATCAAAGTTTGTTTTACACCATCGTCTGTTAGAAATTACGCATAATCGTTATTATAACGCATACATTTCGATGCGTGGTGTTTTCGACCACTACAAAAAAATGTATATTACTGCTGTTTTTTTTTTCAAAGTTGGTTTTGTATTATCTATAAAATACCTATAGCTACCGCAAAAAGACGGGTATAAATGTAGACCCGTTATAAATGCTGAGTAGGGATATCATAAATTACAGAGATGCGACGAGAATTTAAACAAACGTCTCGTAAAAATATATTTAGTTTTGGTTAGGTTACAACAATGAACTCGTATGGAAAACCGTGTTTAAAAAAAAAAAAAAAAAACCAATGTGTAAAACAATACGATCGGCGCATGACGCTTGTAATACGTTAAGCTGCCATTAATTTTTATTCTATTATTAATTTATACATGCCATTTATTTGAAAGGTATAGACATGGTAATTTTCCGGCAGTTTATATATATATGTGTGTGTGTGTGTGTGTACCGCCGTTTCGTTTCAACTTAACATACACCTACCTAAACGCATTTGACGAGTGACTGTTTTTAATTTAATTTTTTTATTTTTACAACAATCGCAAATGACGAATGAGGTTAAGGAAACCGTCTATTTATGGACTTCTTGACGAGTAATGACTGTAGTATTAAATGTAAATTAGTAACAGCATTTTTTTGCCATACTAATGATATTATAACAATATTATATGAATCGATCCTTTAATTTAAAATCGTTTTTATCATAATAAAATATGCTATTTATAGTCATTGGTCATAATTTATAGTCTGCACTGTTATAACATGTAATATAGTATTATATTTTGTCTGCCTACAATATACTTATTGTAGTAGACCTAATAACACGCAAATAACACATTTTTATATGAATACCTATTGTTTTGTTTCAGCGATAATTCCTCAGCTCATAAAGAGGAATGGTTCGTGTAGGTAAGTGTACAACATGAAATTTATTATTTTTTATCGACTCTATTATAAGTTATAACTCATCAATTGTTCATGTCTTAAACTATTTTACTTTTTTAATGGACTTAGTACTATAATTCTGCACTGTTATTTTGTTAATACACGTATAATACACATGTTAATACAATTATTGATTTATGTAGTAAAATTAATAATTATCCAATAAAATAATTGCAATATCGATTATGTCATATTTTTAATTATTTACGTATCCGTAAACAATGATTGTTGTTGTATTATACGATTGTAAAATAAAATACTAGTTGGTATTATTGTAGGTATCAAACATAAACGTAGGTATACATACGCGTGAAAGTACCTTTTTATACATTTATAAACATCGAGTCACGCCATTTTTCACACAAAATAATGGTTTTCTATTTACTCGATAAACAAACTATTAAATGTTAAATTATGCATGAGCTTATAAAATAAGCATACGATGCAACACGACGTTATTGTTATTGTTATTATTATTATTATTATTATTATAGTTTTTTATTATTTTTTTTATGAATGTCGTAAAGTATATTTTACCATTTCAATTTTCTGTAAATTTAGAATAATATTTCATTGATACGATTTTCATTTTACGGTAAAATATAAACCTACCGCTGGCTAGACTAACTATAGATTTTTCTTTATGCACCATGCAGTGTCATGAACTGTGGTGCATGCCATAATTTTATGTTCGCGAGTACTGTTCAGTCGAATCTCTAGTGTATCGAAAAACAAATTTGATTACGCTTTTAGACAACAAATCGCCTTTATCAATAGAAACGAATTTATTATTTTCATTTTCCATTAGATACTGCGATATCATGCAAAATTTTTTTTTTTTTTTTTTATTGGCAACTAAATTCAGTCAGCCGTGTTTATTTTATTTTATAACGATACGATAGTGTTTTACGCGTAGGTACATCTAACAACCAATGAATTTGTTAGATTACGTTTTAAACCCATTATCGGTTTATACGGATAAACGTAAGGTATCCTTAGCAGTCGATTTTACATTCCAGTGTTTTTATGCTTTAAAAAATAAAATTTCAAACCTGTGGAGAAATCAGATTGATTACAAGGCATTTACTTGTTATTTATTTAATACAACCCAAATATACTGTCATGTTACATGCGCAGACATAACACAATAATAACTATATTATGTATATTTTCGGTTTAAAGATTACTCGACTTATCTATCGACAATACTATGTATTATTAGAAGCATTTAAGGATTGATAATACAAAAAGGAGGAGATAGTTCTCTGAAATAATTCACACATCAATTGTCAACACTCAGACATATCGCTCATTGTATGTGATGCGTATTACATACGTGCAATATCTCTGTCATAATATTACGTATATTATATTTATGAGCACAAAGCTCTGAGTACATATAAATATTCCCTGTAATATAATACAGTTTGAGAAAACAGACGGTCATAAAAAAGTAATGTATAAAACGCCTCGCTAATAGCAGTAATAATGAACAAGCACATCTTCCAGACCTTATCATTTTTCACAGATGAGCCGTTTCAGAGGGGGGAGAGGTATTTTTAGTTTTAAACCTCCCAGAAGATCGATTTGTAGCTTTAAATAATTTTTGGCGACACTTCTCTTTATAATAATTTATAGCCCATGTATAATAAAATCGAGTGATTTTATTCCGTACTATTTAAATAGATTGTTTATACAGTCACAACCATCTTGATAATGTATGCATTTATGCATATTTATTTTTTATATCAACAACTATAAAATAAAATAACGATCATAATAGTAATAATAATTACAATAATCAATCAGACATATTATGTAATTGGTATTTTAACTTGTTATTTAATGGTAAATTTTATTTGTTGTGTAGCTATGAAGTTTTTTTTTTTATTATTATTTTCTTGATAACTAGTAGGTTTAAGTTGATTTCCAAAAGACATTCGATTCATTCAATTTTACACGGATACGCAAAGAATTTAAAGATATTATATACCACCTATAACACCGATAAAATAAATCGACTGATAATATGATTTATAGCTCGAACTATCGTCTGTACATTTTGATACTAATACAAATGCTGTAGTTTAGGGTTATACAAGCACAAATGGCTATTAAATTTTATTTTATCTTAACTCTAGAAAAATGAACGATTCCAATTTCGTTTACTAAGTATAATATACGGAAAACGATACATATATAATGCATTTTATCGATGATGATGATGATGGTGATGATAATAATAATAATAATAATAATAATAAAACATCGTAGCTGTCGATTTATAAATGTGTGTAATGTGTATATAATGTGTCTTAGAATATTAGAATTAAAATACTTGATATTTTTAATTAAAAATATTATAAAATTAATTTTTTTTTAATCATGTTTTAACAGGGATGGCCTAAACCGTAGCCCAGCAGGGTGTTACCGGTAGTACCTCGCCAGGCCGGCAAATGCAGCATTCGGATTGTTGCACTTTCCTATAAACTTTTTTTTTGCCTATAATATTTATGTTCAAAAAAATTAACTTCATCAGTTTTTGTATACTTTTATTTCCATTTATTTTCTAAAAAATAAAAATAATCATATTAAAATCTATATATATATATATAATATTTATATATATATATTATCATAATCGTATAGAAAAAAAAAAATAAATTGAGTGGAAAAAAATTCTAAAAAGTCCTAGGAAATCTGTGATTACAAGAAACAAATTGTCATATTTATTATGAACAATAATATGACAACCAAAACGTTTATAACAACCTTTGATGTATTCTTCCTTCCTTTATAGCCAAGTACCTTTTATACTATTATTTTATAATAATTATCTATTATATAGGTAATAATACAATCTCGATTATGAGATAAACCATTAATTTTTTTTAATAGCAGCACATCTTTCTACTTTCTTAAAAATCAAAGACAAAAATATTTTTTTTCCTCTTCATAATTTTCCACTTCTCATTGGGGAACTTTGACGCGATCCACTCGATGCACATACAATCGAAGTATTTTCAATAGAATCCGGATGGAATTGTTTTTAAACCAGCTCCATAAAAATTCAAATAAATTAAATAATAATAACCTTTGGAATTTACTTTTGATTGAGAGTAGAATATTCCTCCCACAATCTTCCACTTATATAAATAACGCGTCCATCTAACTCTAACACTGGTAGTTTACTTGTGACCCACTACCACTGACCCGGTATAACCGAGGCTATTACCATTATATACCATATCTTTACTACGCGCGCTTACATGATTTCACTTCTCTCCAAAATATTTAATATCTTAATTTAAATGACATGTTATCCTCGAACACAGTACTTAAAATACCGCGAAGTGTGCGTGTGCGCGCGTTTTATCCTATTGCATATCCTTTTGTCTCCTCGTCCACGAGAGATTTAATTTTCCATATCGCTAAAATTGTAAAAACGTTTTCATTGTTTTTCACCATTGCAATCCGTTACATTTTCCAATCCTTTTTTAAATCATGTAATTTCATGTCAGAAAAATTTATCTCAATCCACAAATGTCTTATAATTTTGCATATCATGTTAAATATATATAAATATTTTAAAATAAAAAAACAATGTTACCGCGTCATACGATTTTCCACGCAAATTTGTTTTTGCTCTTCCTTTTCACGTACGCATTAAGTTTTATTATTTTTTTCTCTTATTTTACGTCACTTGATTATTTGGCTGAACAAATCAAATTTGATATTTCGTTACAACGAATATGGACTGACAGATACGTTACAAATATTTTTAGCCACTACCCTAAACATTTAACCGACATTCATACTTATTTTGAGCCAACATTCATTCCGTTCATTCTTTCTTTGTATAAAATAAAATATATATATTAAATAGTTATCACGTTTTAATTCAAGTATGTGTGATTGTGTGTGTAGTAAAATATTTCAATGTTTTTTATCAATGTCGGTCTATATCCGTCCATTTAATCTATTCCAAACGAAAAAATAAACATAATCAATAGATTTGTATAGTCAGATTACGTTTCATACACGTAATATAATATTATAAATATACCTAGTTTTTCTTATTTTTTTCGAATACCGGATAAACTACAAAACTTTAAGGCTCCAATAATCCCCACCTCAGTTTATTGATGTCTATTTTTCTACCTCAGCATTACAAATTCACCATACTAAACTTCACAACAGAAATATCAAAAAACAATAGTAATTACCACACTCAATTCTTATACTATAATATATTTATATATAATTTTTTTTTATTTAGTGTTTTGGTATGTCGTATTCGTACTACAGTTGTACAAAATCGTCATAATGGTGTTTGTTTAATTATTCTATTTAGGTGAATTATTTTCGTTAACCTTATGTTACCAGCTTATAATTTTATTCAATGATAGAAAATTATCGTAACAATTTAATGTTTCGATACACTTATATTTTATGTATTAGATTTAATTTAAAAAAATATTTGTTTTATTGTTTAGTGAATGTGTTAGTATATTAGTGTTACGAACAACAATAGCCTAAAAAATGTGTCGATCGGGAAGCTTATTCTTTGAAAATTCCTCGTTAAAAATTAATAATAATAATAATAAATTAACTATAATTTGTATGCTATCTATGCCTGAGATTATGGTAACTTAGTTGATGTAGTAATAACTCAGTTATAATTTAAATATATATTATATAATATATTTATAATAAGTACATCATATATATATTCATTAATTTTAGCGTTTAAAACTATATACACAGCCCAATACCTCTAATAATTATGTCTTATATAATATTATTATATTTACAGTATGTGTAAATACTATCTGTGCTCTGTATATTTCTTGAACGTTATTTAATACCTGATGATATAATAAAACTGTGGTCTATTAGTGATTTTGTGTTAAGCACAAAACCACATTAAGCAAAAGAACGTACCTCAATTATATTATAATTAAATGTTGTAAAAGAATACAATTGCACAGCTTTGTCTTTGGTTTAGCTTGTAGATTAAAACGTCAATTAATGTAATGATGACTACGATATTATGACAATAGACATTCATATATTTTATATATAATTATATTTTTGTTTTGTAATCATGGTAATAACATAATAATAATATTGTTCATTTTTTTTATTTTTTTTATTTTTAAGGCCTACAAACTTGTGAAAATTAACATATTTAATTTTAATGTTCAATAATTAAAATACTTTTCTGAAAACATTTTTAATATATAATAATACACAGATCATAATATATTATGGATACAGATGCGTTAAAACGTTAACAATTTATTTAATAATAATTATTATTACAACTGCCTAAAATATATTATATATACAATTAATGTTTTAGATATTTAAGTCAGATATACAATATTATTCTATTATTATTTAAACGTACACTGAGTGTAATATAATGTGTTTATATTTGACGTGTGTACATTTACCATGCATTTAGAAAAATATATTTCATCCCCCATAATATTATACTATTACATGAATAAATACAAACATTATTTCGAAAAGCAGCGGATTGTCGTTTTTGTGTACAATTTTCTCCTCTCGTATTTCATTTTCTATGCAGGTACCGGACGACGATCAAACGACGATGTCAAACAAAAGTGAGCGTATATAATACCATAACACAAGTAATGGCCAATGGGTATAGAGTATTCACAGAACATAGACGTCGTTTCAGCTTTTTAGCATAACCGAAGAGGCGTACATTTTAAACAGGACGATTTTTATTTCCACCTAGCCATTACTTTTTACGTCATGCCCAGCCATCCATAAAGTATATCTTAAAATTACGTTTATATGTAATTATAAGTATTTGAGATTATTTTTTGGTGGCAATGAATTCGTAGGTCAAAATCAAGAGAACAAGAATCAAAAACTGAATCTCAACGTCACATAATATACACATTTATCCAGAACACCAGTATTAATTCATGTTTTCTGCGACCGTTAAATTACAATCGCTAATATACATTTACTTAATAATAACTATTATAATACTCGTATGTATAGATATCAGTATTATATTATTATTATTATATAAGGTGAGCGTCCGTGAATAGTAAATATTAAAGTGACGGTAATATGCACGGCCAGCCTTCATCAAACGACACTACTGGCCATTAAATAAAACATATGACGACGTAGGAAAGTGTTGATAATTTTTAGAATTTTTCCAAATTTATAACCATAAGATCCAACATAATATAATAGTAATTAATATTAAACCATTGACAACTGTTTGTCAAAAAATAAAATCTAAATTTTGCGCTTAGGTACACACTACGCACCACATAAAAATATTTTAGCACCTGAGAGAGGACATTTAAATAATAAGCTGTTTATTGATATTTTTTTAATCAATATATATTTCCTATTTTTAATTACAAATTTTTTTTTAAGGACAACATTTTTAAAAAAATAAATAAAATAGGTTCAACTGATGAGGCAAGTTGTTATCTCAATAAGAGTAAGTGAATTTTTTTAAAATAGGTCACACTTATTTTCTATTTGAAATTTCTATGTAGTATATAACATATAAAATGATGAATCTTTAAAATCAATATGTAAAACAGTAATAATAAATGTTATTAGTAGTTATAATTTATCAGATTTTATATAAGAATTTTATTAGATAACATCAATTTCAAACTAATAACGTATAAATGACTTAATATAAACTAATAATAAGTTTATGTATAAACTGGTGGTTTTTATCACTCTGAAAAATAAGTAAAAACAAATAAAGACTTAAATTACGAAAAATTCAACTATTTAAAATATAATCATTACTCATTACGATTCTCATCGCGACGTTTGAAAAAATAAAAAGCAAAATTAATCAACATGTCTAATTCTATACACATATGAGACAAAAAAAAAAAAAAAACAGAAACTATCGAGGTGGGCGTGTCTCAGCGACGATTGTAAGTAACGGCTAATAACCGTTTTGTTTTCTAGGTACGTGCATTATTTTTATGTAATCGCAACATCCGGTCAAAAGTTTCTCGACGAGAAACTTTTAGTATAACAATAATTTTCTATAACGCATCATAAAAAAAAAAGTTACTGTGAAATAAATCGAGTGCAATAAAGTACTTCTATTATAGATAGACAGCCTCGACGTGACCGATGAATAAAAATTATATGATTTAATGTAGATTTTACTGGTAATTGTTATGCAATGTTGATACTCATATTTACGGAGTAAATATACCTACATGTCAAATATCAAAATTTAATTGTAATTGGATTACGATACATAATTTATAACATAGGTGCTTACTGCTTAATAAAAATATGATATAAATAATACATTAAAATTAAAATTAAATAAACTTTTTAATTTATAATAGTTATTAAAAAACCCGTTTTAGTATACTATTTAAAAATCACTTAGATACAATACATACATTTATTAAAACTGTAAGCTTTAATATTTTTATAATAAAAACCATGTTATCAGTTATTCACAATTTATAATAATCGTTTATCCGTATTCATTTTGAGTGCAAACTAAATTAAA